TTCGTAAAAGTAAATTTGCTTAATAAGACATAATAAACTAAACTAACGCTACCAAGCATAGAAATTGACAAATAGTTTTATCACTTTAAAAATTATTACAATATTTCCTGCAAATATTTCGAATTTGGAAGGAAAAATACCTTAAAAAAAGTGAGTAAAAAAAAATATAATAATAATAAAAAAGGATGATTGTTAGCTTCAGTGTCATAAAAAAAAAGCTCAACGGTACTGAGCGACTGCCATCATAAAGTTCAAATATTGTTGAGTAAACATAATAAGAGAGAAGTTGGATAATTAATTGTATTTGACAATGTTGGTTGTTATGTTTTTCACAATCAATGTGAATGTGAAAATAATTAGGTTAGAGCATTCAAAGCATGCTCTCAAATAATTTTTTATTCACTTAAAAAGTAGGAACTCTGCTCACAATTCGTATTTTCTCCTAATAAAAATTTTACGATTTATCTCAAATGGAGCAGACATCTGTTATTTTTTACGTGATATTTAGTCCATCTTATATTACAAAACAGTGTTTTATTATCAATTGACAAATGATTACATTAACACCAGCAATAAATTTTAAACAATATAAGTTCTCCCAATAAAAAAATAATTAATTTTAAAGAGAAGTTTCAAACTTTGGTAATTTATTGAGATAAACTCAAAGCTTTGATGATAGAAGTTAACTCCGGCGCATCCACCAATTTGTATCAAAAACAAAACAAAAACACATGTTAAAAAGTTGATGACAATTTTTCTGTAAAAGTGATTGTTTAACGTAAAGAACGGGTGCGTTGCAAATGAGTTCGTTAATAAAAAACGAGCTTTTGGAGGCATTTTAAACCGGCACACACGTTGCTAATTTTGTATTAAGCAGGGAGAAAGAACTCATTTAATTTCCCTCATTTTTAATTAAATCACAGCCTGTACGTGTGTGTTTTTTATTAAATACGTCGATTTAACTTCAAACAGTTTAACTGATAAAAGAAGATTGTTCTGGACGTTTTATTCATAGCGTTTCGTACCACATGTCTCGTATCGATTTTTTTGTGTAAACATCATTTCGCTGTTATATTAATGAAAATAATAAGTAGCGAGGCAATTTTTCTTTTAACGCGAAAATTTGTCTATATAAACGCGAGGAAATTATGTGCATAATTTTCCATTTTTAAAGCTTTCAATAACATGAAACTTTTGTTCACTAAAAAATTTACACTCGTTGCTTTTAGAATTTTCAATTTAATTTGGGCAAATGTTGTTATTATCCGAGGAAACAAGAGTAGCTATAAAAAGCTACATACCATCGCCTTGATGACTCATGAAATAATGTGGGGTTAGCAAGTTACGTTCACGTTTGCTATATAATTTTACGTTTCTGCTCCCAATTCACACAAGATTTCAAAAAGACCAATAATTTGAAACATTACGCATGAATCGAAGATAAAGCTCCGTGTTTCCCCCTCGTTAAGGGCAACTTTACCGGTAAATTGGCCCTAGACTCAATTAATTAAATATCCATCGATTCAAATTTCGGAGAATCCTCCATTTATAATAACGTGCATTCCGAATATGTATTTGCCTCTTAGTTAATCATTTATACGGTGTTTCATTCCGACAACTCTCCAAACTAATTAACGCGACACTTACAACCCCATCACCTATTAATTCTTCAGTTTCTGTTGCTGATTTCGAGGACTATCGTAGCCTTAACTCCTTAACACATCATCATTTATTCATATAATTACGTTCCTTTTTTCTCTCTGTCCTCAGAATACGCTGTCAATCAGTGTAACTTTTTGTTACAAATTTAGATCTGGAAAATTCTAACATATCGAACCACTTTCAACAACGTGATTCATGTGACGAAAATCTTGCAAATTTAAACGACTGAGGCTTTGATTGATCCACTAATATTTATGTGAATCAATCAAGCAGTCGCTTTATAGCTTTTTACGGCGAAAGTAGCTGTGGAAAAATTATCCGATAGAGAAGCCCTCTCGATATTAATTATTTAACATCTTTTCAGGAAAAATAAATGATGGAGTTGTGAAGTTTTTGAACTTTTATCCACATTAAATTTTAAGGATTTTCATGAAACTAAGAGGAAATATGCAAATCGGCTTTTCAGTAAAACTTTAGAGAATGAAAAAATGCTACGGCTTAGTATAAGCCCAAATTGGTAAATTAATTGAGTTGTTTACATAATAAACACGATTTTTTAAATCTGATCACATGTGTTAAGATAGCAAACTTTAAATTTGAATATTATGTTAATGTCACAGGATATTTTTCCTGGTTTAAATCCTCTAAGCTTTGCACTACTTTGCAGTTTAAAGGATTAACAAGTCGAATAATAAAAAAGTTAAAACTTTTTTATTTTGAACACAACTCTGCATAACGGGGTTAAAAAATCGTTGTGAACATTTTAATTAAAAATTAAATACGCAAATTCATTACTGCGCTTATTCTTTTGATTGCAGATTTTAGTAATTATGAGAGACAGCTTTATTTATTTTGTTGCACAGGTGGCGTTGATAAGCAAAAATTAGCTTTTCATTGGTTCACACAAATTGAAAGTACATGAATTAATTATTCATAACAAACAGAGTTACAAAATTTTACTGCCGTCGAGTATTTTATGATTATTTTAAAATTTCTTTTTTAATTGCTTTAAGATCCGGGGTACATGATAAAACTACAATTGCATCATAAAACAATTTTTACTACTATGAAAACATAATTCGAACGAGTACATATGCAAATAGTTAATTGTGATATAAAAATAATATTGGTGAAATAAAACTACAGCTTAGTTGGCAATATTGTTAAAAATTTGTAAAGTGGGACTCAAAATAAATAATTGTGTTGCCTTGAGATTTGTGGTTACGTATTTACTAACTAACCCCAATTTCTTCAGGTGTTATAAATCAGTACGATATTGTGTTAGAAGTATTTCAAGTGTGGACGGTATATGCCATTTTACAACCAATGATAATAAAACTAGTCAAAAAATCCTTGAGTCGACAAAATAACACCGAGAATTATTCATTTGTTACGACGACCACTTTAATGATAACAAAACTTTTTTTTATATAGATTATATAGATCAAAGTTTAAAAAAAAAATTCGTAAGATGATAATTTTATGCAAATGTCGACGAAAAAAGCGGAAGCTTGCTCTTGTCTTTGTGAAATTCTGGACGGGTGTCGGTATCGCTGAAATCCTTGTTCGTTTTCGAGATACGATCCATCAAAGTCAGCTTTTGAACAGAATCACGTACTGCAAAACCGGAACAACGGCCCATCATAGAGAAATCTGTTTGAAATGATGAGAGCTATCAAATTTTTCGACTCGAAGTATCGCACATTGACGAATAAATCTACCGATGAAAAGTTGTATAAATCGTAAAACTAGTTGCATTACGCCATCATAGTTCAGAAAAGTGTGTAAACTCGAGCAGAGATATGAACTCGGTGAAGACATGTGTTCAGAACATGAGTCCGGAACAAGTTCGAAATCATTTCCTGCGTACTTTTGATGTAAACACGCAAAAGGAAGTACGATGCGAAAACATGTATTTTTTAATTGGTTTTGTGAATGCAACTCTCTATGCAAATTTTGCAATAGATTTATTGCGCCATATCATTTTCTATTTTTAAACTTGCCACCACTTCCTCTTCTCTCTTTTAGTTCTTGCAGCAACAATACAAACAAGTGCAGCACCAGCGAGAAGAGTTCGTCCTTCGGACATTTATAAAAAAGCCCACTAATCCACTAATTTAAACGTACTTACATATAGCAAACTTTATAAAAATGATTTTGAACTTCTTACAAACATTTAGTGCGAAACTGAGTGTATGAGCCTAGAAGTTTAGAATCTGTTTGGCCACGGAGGAGTTTCGAACCTGTTCGGAACAAGTTCAAAACATAGATTTTAGTGTGTACCCGGCATTAGGTTTAAAGAATGGTTTGTTTGTACAAGACAAGTTTAAATAAACACGGTATAAATTTCTAAACATTTTTATCGCCTCTTGACAGATACTTATAAAAGAGTTTGCAACAAATTTTTCAGCGAAAGTGACATTTCCCGTTAAAATATTTGATAGAAAACGAACTCTGCTTGATACCATACTGTTTTATTTTTATACTCGCATCTTTTTAGTTTGCTCCCAAAGGAAATATGATATGTGTGTTGTTGTTGTACCTCCGGATTCGCAACAGCAGCACTCGATTCTTTTTACAAATGGGTAAAGGTGATACTCTATGTAGTTCAACAAGTTTGCTATTTATCGAATTGTGTTCACACTCAATTATAGAAAAAAGTACGCTTGTTTTCACGAAGTATAAACAAATACTGATGTCAATTCGCACGCGTTTCTTTGAATAACAATCGACGATCGTTAGAAAAACAGAATTCAGGTCAACAAGAGGGGACAGGGATGAATTCCCAATTTTGTTTATACAGCAACTTTACACATGTTAAGTAAAGGTGCGTTCGTTTGCAATGAGGGATTTCTGAACACACAAACACATTTAACATCATTTAATTAACGTCTCGGCGGCTACTTTACATTATATAGCAACTTGATCCGCCGGAATTTAATCCAATTGAATTTGAATGGTGTCACTTCTGGAAATATACATTAAAGCAAAAATAAAAATAAAGGCGCAGATGGTTTATAACGTGTAATATCCAATATCCTACCTGGTTTTGTCGGTCACGGGAGGACTAAAAGGGGTTGAAATAATCCAGCCCTTCCGAAATGACAATGCAACAACAATCGATAATTCAGTCGGGTGGAAAATACTGATTAAAATTATTAAAAAACAAAGGTGCATTGAATGTAAATCGAGAGCAACTATTGAATTGCAATAAAATGCATGCGTGCACATGGCTCATTTATAAATATCATGGCGCAATTAATTAACAAAAAAGTTAGGGGTTAATGTCTCGACAAGTATTGTATCGTTTTAATTTTAGAAAATTGCGTGCTTAAAATCGTGAAATTCTCACACCGTTGTATCTTTCTAGGCAATTTTTCTAAGCACAAATAACTAAATAGAAAACCTTGATGATGTATCAGTTTTCGCATCCGGCGAGAACTACAGCGTCATTCAATAAATAAATGAGAAAAATATATAAATAATTGAGCCAGCGATGAGCATCAAATTTGGGGAAGTGATGGAAGAGAAATTCTTCAAGTGGAAGAATGATGATCGAATTTTATAACAAGATATATTAGAGTGGAAATTTACATCGATGATATAAATAATTTCACAAATAAAGTTGAATTTGGAGAAAAAAAAGTTATATCACAATTAGAAAGGGAGTGTTAAAATGTTTGATATTAGATATGTCAAGTCCACAACTAAACACTCAATTAGCACAAAATTTAATTATCGGACATTGAAAGCTAACAAGTTAGTGGGTATATCGAAGTGGGCCATAATTAAATAGAGCGTAAAAGTGAGAAAAGTGGCTTTACGAAAGTTGATTAAAATTTATATAGGTATTCGGTAAAATAAAAAAGTGTCGGTGAAATGGAAACAAGTAAATGTTCAATTCAGGTAACATTAATCACTGACAAGGCCACCACCCCTTTGAAAGAGGCTAATAAACTCGCATCGTACGGAAATAGTTATGATTGATGTCTGGTTACTTAATAAGTTTCTGCAGTGGTAATTTAAATAGTGGGTTTTTACAGATCGAGCTATGGGGTGCAAGTGGGGGTGTTTGAGGGTCTCGGTACCTTCCTCGTCTTCGTATGATCTTCGTACGAGTCGGATTCCCACTCCGTTCATCCTGTCGATAGGGTGGTTTTCTACGAAGTGCGTCCTCCGATTTAAGCGCACGCGGTTTACCCGGTGGGAAATTTGCGACTACCGCAAAGGTCACCATGTATATGTTAATTCAGGGGCGGATTGATCGACCTGCGTGATTTTTAACAAAGTGAACATCAGTATCAGTCCAGACATTCAACACTGTTTTACCGCCCCTTTAATTAAACCGAAGTGGCCGTGAACTAAATATTTCCAGTCGATACAGAGTACTTATAGATTTATTGATGGCAATAGAAGAAAATTCTTCCTGTAAACACGTGATCGACAACAGGTAGAAACAGGAGGGTAAAACATGCGTCACAACCCTTCCCAAAGATAATGGAATTAGAAGGGAGATTAAACCTTTATACTGACACACTGTCAGTTGGATTACAAATCAACAAAATTACACCGCAAATTTACTTCAACTGAAATAGAATATACATACTTGAGATTATTGAAACATACCTTGACCGGATGTCTTCTTATAATCGGAGTTATTAGTTGGCAGGAGTTTTTCTTTTACACGATCTTCGTCTTCTGATATATGCGAATCACTATTATATTTTCCAAAAATATGTTTGGGTTCTTCAGATTTTGAAACACGAAAACGTTCCGGCATTTTCAAACAAATCTGATTTAACTTAACATAAATTAGTTTTCAAACGTATTTTTAACATACCACAACACAAACAATTGTTTTGATCGAACTTTTTTCAATTCAATTTGAATTAACAATTAGTGCCAACATACAAACTTAAACTGTCTATCGTCCACAGTTTATTGTCAAAGCGCGCACAATTTCTGAAACTGACAGCTGTCACAGTTTATAACAATATTTGTTTACCTTCTCTAGCGCCATCTAGAACAGACGTCAAATTACTCAAGTAACAGCCTTCGCCATCTACCAATCAATAGCATTACCACTGACATTACCACCTCATAAGTAAGCTTTCACAACACACCACTCTTGAAGAAAAGGAAGAATCAAATTAACAAATCTAAGAATTCTTGTATTTATTCGATGATTTTAAAGGGTAAGTATGTAATACTATTATAAATTTATTTATAAATAAGATATCCAAAATTCATGGAAGCATAATATCTACATATTTATTTATAAATTTTCTGAATAAACATTGAAACAGGTAAATAATAGCCAACTTTTTTGTATATCTTTATCATTTACAGACAGCACAAAAATGGAACAAAAACGTTTCGGTGTGAAGATAAGTCTCTTGAACGAGTTAAGACTTTTTCAGTCAATGTTAAAGAAAAAAAAAATGTTTTACATAGTAGACCTAACTTCAAATGCTGGGACGCAGAGCCATGTTCGAATATATACTGAGGAGAATATTGTGACTATTCCTCTTCCAGGGTTTGCTCTATTTGCAGTGATAAGGCAAGATTACAGAGATAGAGGACTTCTTATGATTTCCCTTGTGCTTGGGGGATTGTGCGAGATCACAATAAAATTTGAATCAGAAGAGGAAAAACGGGCATTTAAGCGGGACATGTTAGTAAAAGCAATCAACATATGGATAATAACATTATGGTTTTAATTTTACTGATTTTTTGTTATAGATCCTCCGACTGGACTCCAAGTCCTGAGAGAGAAGAATGTGAATAAACTGCGATCTAAACTTTTGACTTATTTTTGGTTTAATGTTTTGTAAAATGTTACTTTTTAAATTTATCTTAAAAACAGGGCTGTGAATTCGCTTCAATAATAACGACCTTGTCCGAATTTGTTTGGACGAAACTGTGCATTTTTGTGCTAAGTGGCCCAAGGCAAACAGGCGAATTTTAAGTGTTTTTAAAAGGTGAATTTGTTTGGCCGAAAACGTATGTGCTGAAGTGGCCCAAGAGAAAAACAGGACAAAAAGGCGAATTTTAACTTTTAACAAAGGTACCTTGAAAAACGGGGTAGATTTTATAACAAAATGATGTGTGCTGAGTGACCTCATTAGTAGTTATTATAGAACTATATTTCGATAAAATTTGTACACATGTCTAAAAGTACAACAACAATAAACATTCTTGAAAGAAACAGTACTTAATACAACCCTATAACCACAACACAGAACATGTAAAATTGAAACAATCTTGCATCTAGAAAATTTAGTAACAGGTTATGCCATTTCATCAAAGATTGCACTATAATAAGAATTTGAGCATTACTGAGCTATTAAACTATCTAAGTGAAATGCATTCGTATTATGTCAATTTCACAATTGAGTTTCACGCTCAAGACTAGGAAAAATTATCAACAATTCATTCCTCATAGTAGATTTGGCGTTTGCAAATATGCCGATGCCGAATTAAGCAATCCAATTCTTTGTTTCTGCTTGCGCTGTTCCGCCATCTGATCTTTCAGTTCCATTAGTTGTTGTGAGAGATTAGTCACGAGTACTTGGGTATTCTCAAGCTGGGCTTGCAAACTTCGCAATTCTATCTGTTCACCTTCTCCTTCTACTGCAGCCAAAGACATAGCACGTAATCGCGGAAACCAATCCAAATTTGATGCTTTAACCATCGCGTAAACGTAACTTTCCGGGCCAGTGAACTCAGTTGGATCTTTCACTTTTGTCAACACGATAAAGTACAAATAGTGCCACATGTTGTGTTCGCATTTAATATGTTCTTCGAAACTGACGGTTTTATTGTCAAATGCCGAACGATTTAATCCTTGAAAGATTTATTCAAATTATTTTAATAGACAACGAATTCAACTTACCGCAAATAAAACATGTGTTTTTTAGGATCAATTCCTTTTGTTGCTTTTCTGATCTCAAGTCGGCAAATGTATCGATTATAACACCGAAAATTAAATTAAGTACGATAATAATCACCACGAAAAAGAACAGCAAGTCGTAAACAACCCTTGCCACAAACAGAGCTTCCTGAATTAAAACATAATTAGATATTGAGTTTTAACGCTAGGATTTTGTACTTACTTCACTACTTGGAGCTCGTAAAATATCCCCAATTCCGCCTCCGTTTCGCAATCCTTGATTAAGTGTTGTGACAATGCACATGATTAGTGAATCGCAAGCCCTTTCTTTCTTTTCTTCACCAGGATCCACAATTTTACAGTACTGGGCATTCTCGTGAGTATACTTATTGCCGGTAGTATCGGAAACAGTTTCACATATCGTTTCATCTAAAACTGGCTAGTAAAGATTTTATGTAACAGAATTTAATCAACTTACCGGTTTTCTTTTTAACGCTTACGATAAAATCATCCTTAAAGAACATATAACCGATAATTGAGAACATATATACAAGAATTAGAGCTAGTACTGCTGTTAAAATAATAGAACGTCCGTTTCTTGTGACTGACCTAATGACATTTAAAAGTGTCTCTTCTCGATAAACAACATCAAATAACTGAAAATAAAGATTATACTCCAATATTGACTGTCATATAGTTAAATTTACCAAAACTGAATAAAAGAATGGATGCATTAAAAGACCCAACATACAAAAAACGAGATATGCCAAATGGTAAACGAGTTCAGCATCTGTGAGTATTTGTTGATAAGTTTTGGTAAGTGTACCATGATTGCCCATTATACTGACTAGATGGATTCCTTTGAGTAAAATTGTAACGGTGCCCAAAAGCCATAAAGTTGGTTCTGGGCCTAGAGAGAATATCAGTCTCAGAATAGTGGAGGCTACTAACGTCCGTATGCCTGTTTCCCTAGGCAAAGTAACAACAATTGCAGTAGAAGCTAACATTGCCACCCAAATTAAAACCGAGATACTTGAACTAATTTCTAAAAAAATCAAGTATATCACTCACCACAACCCAAAAATTTACTCACTAGGTAAGGTGTCTTCAAAAGGATAAAAGAAAGCCACAATTAAATTAATAAGTACAGCGCAATTAAATAAAATGTTGCTCCATAAAGACATATAACTACTAACCCAAAAAAGTACCGGTTGTGCTAAAACGTTTTGTTATGACCATGTAGGAACCTACCCTAAACTCACCTCTTAATTTCTTCTGCCACTTCATTTCGTTAAACATCGACTCGGTGCGTTCAAAAAAGTCAACAACTTTGGACCCCTGATCATCTCTTTCAGCTGTGTTAAATACTTTAATTTTTGTATCAGTTGTGATATATTCGCAAATTTCGGGTATGGGAAAAACGATTTGTTCCAATGTGCGGTCGTGTCTCACAATTTCAATTTGTGCGGTATGTGTAGCATAATAAATTAGCGCTTTATGGATTTTAGGATCGCTTCCAAAGTCAGCTGGTTTAAGTAACGCGGCTAGTTCCTTGTTATGTTGCGCGAGTTGGTGGCAAAGGATGTAAATATTATGACCGACTTCCTTCGGCGAAACGGCGTCTTCGACACTCCCATCGTCGACTTCTTCATCGTCTTCGGCAGTCTCCTGGTGAAAAGCACGACAAGCAACGTCGACTAATTGTTTCGGGTTCATATTGTAGAGAATTCTTTCAGCGTTTTCGCTATCGCCACGACTCTCCATTATGGCTAGGAGTAGCTTAGACGCATTGTTTTTTAATTCGAGGACCAAGTCCATTCGAGATTTCCCCAATGGGTTAATGTCATTCAGAATAAGTGCTGTAATAATATCGAGACCGTTCGATTCGTGTGTCGCTATACAGTTCTGATTCTCGTGACAAGGGCCTTGGCAGTATTCAGTGAGAGTTTCCAAAGTCTGATTAATTAGAGAGACGTTGTTTTCGTTTATGTACAGCCCGAGTAAGCCTAAACCACCAGTCGTTGATCCACATATACAATCAAGAAACATCAGTGTTTCAGAAACTAGATTATAATTAGTTTTATTGTTTTGATTGCGTAACAGATTTTGTAACGCTGGGTTGTGATTTTCACATAGCAATTGCAAGAAACGTAAAATCGGTTGCATGATAAGTACTTTATTTGATAGACAATTCTGATCGTCACGATCGCGATGCTTTTCTAATTTTTCCGCCAACAAATCTTCAAAAGCGGAAGCTGTGCCCGAAGTGACCGTTCCGTCTTCACCGACGGCCATATTGCGAATTTGTGCATAAGCTTGAGAGGTGCTTTCAGCCGCACGGCTCAACTCTTCTCTTAATTCGTCACTTATCAAAATTCCGTTCGACTTTCCGCCTTGTTTTTTCGACACTTTATCTAAATCTTTCCCGTCTTGTTTATCCTCATGCGCTTTTGCTGCTATATCTGACGTATTAACACTCACAGTTGACTTGATTTCTTGTTGAGATCCTTTCATCTTATCGTAAAACACCTGAGAAAAACAAATAAATATCAAGTAAAAAAAACTATGGGATTTATTTAGTACCCTGAAGAAAGCTTGGCTTAAGTCACCCCCAAGCAATTTATTGAACATACTTTTCTGAATGATGGGATTTCCGCCTTCTAGGAGCGCAATCCCTAATTCTACAGCCTCACCAAAAATTGAAGGAGAATTTACAGATTTTATTACTAACTCTACGACCAAATCTGAGGCTCCTTCCCGGTCTAAATGCGTTTGAACTTCGTGTAAAGTCCGACCGGCTCGGCGCAACACTTTTGCTAAAGTTTTAAATCAGATTATTATAATTTAAGAGTAGATTAAATTACCCCCAGGTCCGTGCATGACTGAGGATATTTGGAAATTTCCTAATTCGACTGTGTCATGTTTTTGAACAAAAGCTTTTCCGAAATATCTCGCCAATAAGCTATTTCGTAACACATCCCCCTACAAGTATTTATGATTAATAAAAAATAAACAATTATTTTTAACATTAAAACAAAAAAGCGTGTAAGTGTAATGGAAAAGGGTTTTGGCTCAGTAACACTAAACAAACAAAACCATACCATATCATTTTCAGTTTTTTCACTTTTATCGTTCTGAGCAGCATGTTAAAGATAGACAAATAAATAAATGTAATAATGTACAAGTAAAATAATCAAAAATTTAACCTTCTCTCCATATTCCGTATCGATTGCCATCATTTCGCGTAACGTTTTCAATACTTTCACGCATAATTTCTCTTCTTTTTCTTCTAATAACGTTTCAGTATGCTTAATAAGGCTGAAAATTGACGTCATATTTGTTCAAGAGATAAGTGATTTCATTTACCGCCTGATAAATCCTCCGCTTTCACATTTTTTACGAGATTCGGTCCCCGAAGGAAAAAGGAGTTCAGGTCGATACAGTACATCAACTAGGAGACTTAATTCTGATTGAACCAACGGTTTCAATTGATCTTCAAGTAGTGAAACAATGTCTTGTAAACCCTCAATTATGCTCCGATCCAAGCGCATCAACTACAAATTTCCTATTGTAATTTTTTCCGTAAAACTCTACTTCGTTTATACCTGAGATTGAGATCTCTCCATTTTTGGAGTTTTTGAAGCTTGCAACCATTTGCTGGTTTGTCTTGTTAAAATTGTTGCTTTATTAAACATCGCGGCAACTTGACTTTCGAGGTCAAGCGGTATTGCAATTCCTCGGTTTTTGGCTAAAATGAATTTGATTAATGCCTGATGTGGTTTTGTTTTTCTTAGAAAACTGACCCACTTCAGACAAAGTTCGGATACAATTTTCAACATTGAAACGTTGAGAGGCTGATAGCCACGGACATTGAGATACTCTGAATGCTGATTGCAATAATTGCACAAAAATAGGTTGCCTTGTCTGGAAAATATTCGTGTTAGTTTTTGGTCGAATTAATTATCGAGGGTTAAGTGTAGCGAAATAAAAACGGTTAGAGTCGCTTTAAGTCATCTAAGTAAGCATTTAACATGCATGACGTCCTGTTAGAAGCACCATATGGGTACAGGAAGCAAAATCAGGTAATAACCAATCGGTGTTAAGTGGTTATTAGATGATTAAGGAAGCTAGTGATACTTACATTAGAAGAAAATGGCGAATGTTTGAGCGGAACGTTAACAGAGAACGGATCATAATCATCCATTGTAGAATCGCTCCAGAAAACCCTTGCTTCATGCAGATGTTTCTAATAGAATCCCCATTAAAAGGCACCATAGAAAACGCCAGTTGTTATATTGATAGTTTTTTTTTACAAAAAATAAAATAAAATAGCTACTCTAACTGCACATAAAGTAAAAACTATCAATACAAACGTAAAAAATAAAAAAGCACAAGATGAAATACCCAAATAAGCACATGCAACTTAAAGTCAGAGTCTCAAAGCTTGTACCTGGACTGTTGTACTCTGGTCTGAAAATGGGCTACTAAAGAATGTTGAGATGATGTTCATGACGCAGTTGGTCACATAATTTTCCAAAGCTTTATCTGGATGTTTTCGATCTGTAGGAGCCGTCGCAATATCGGCCATATCAACAAGAAACGACTTCTCAAACAACGTCCACATATGATTCGACGTGTATATCTCTTTCATTTCAACTTCAGTATCAATGTAACAGTGATTCAAAAATCCCACATAAGCTTCCTTGACTTCTGGGATGCAATCTGGATGTGTTACCATTGCAACAATATCATCCAATGGCAGTAAACTATGACACTTAATTTCGGTATAAACATTTTTACCCATGGTGCAACATGCGAGAAGTTTCACCAATTCAACATGGTATTTCAATGGACTACCCTCGTCCATACAGTGTCTTTCAGACCGCATCATTTCAATAAAATGATTAAATGATGCTTTATCATTGTAAAAAACTAAAACATCCTCCCCGGCATTGATTAACTAGAACTTAACAATTAGAAAAAAATTTCGACAAACTCAAACGCACCTCTTGCATAACCATATCCTGACTTTTCCGAATAAACTGATTTTCGGCTTTGACAATTGTTTGAAGAAACTTCAAATATTGCACGTGACGTCCATGACTTTCAATACAATGAACAAAATGTTGAATAACTTTCTCGTTAACTTCGTTACATAAAGTGGAATTGTCTTGAAATATTGCACAAACGGTTTGAGCTTCCCTAATCTAGATAAAAATGAGATTTCGAAAACTTGTTTTTATTTACATACCCCAGGGTTTAAAAACAAATCTAAATGTTTAAAAAGTAAAACTTGGTTCTGCTGATTGCCTAAACAAAAGTTTTGTAGAAACTCATGCGCAAGTCTCATCAATTCGTTCATTCTTATGTCCTCCTTTTCATCGTATGGTATTTGCAGTAAGTCCAGAACGACTGTATGTACACCAACATTTCTTAATAATCTCTGTTCATGTTTTCGTGGCTTAACCATGCCACTTGGTGACCCTTGTGTACATAATTTATTCATACGAATTAAAATTTGTTGGATTTTTTTATATTCATCTGCTTGCTCCGGATGTAAAGGAGGTCCAACATCTAAATTAATTGCTGATCCCTTTTTTTCCAAAACACTAAGTGATGGAGTCTTTGTTGTTGTAACCTCTTCCTCTTCTTCCTTGTTTTTCTTGCTGCTTGTCGTGCTGTGTTCATCTATACATTTCGATTTGTATACCCACAATTCAGACTTTTCAACTGATTGTCTTAAAACATCTAAATCAGCCTTTATTTGCTTATAGGATTCTACATCGCTATCAGAAACTAATAATTGTACCTAAAAATTACAATATTTATTATTTTTTTATTTATAAAGATTATAATACTTGTCTGAAGGCTTGTAAAACCTCTTGTCTTTGACTGAAATGTCTAAAAAGTAAATGCAATGCACCAGAAACTAAAGGAGGATAATCGTGCATTGTTAAGTGCAATAAAACTCGCAAAAAAGTTCGCCCGCCGTGACCATCAAGGTCTAAAACGGCACATTCTTCACTGCTACCAAAGATACCCTCAGCTTGACTTCCAATCAATTCCAAATCGATATTTTTCTGACCCAAATTTAAGGAATCTCCAGAGTTATTTTTTTCAGATTCGTCAAATTCTTGTTTAAAAATACTAAGAAGACAACTTATCCGATAATCAAGACGCACATCAAGAATAAACTAAAAAAAATGTTGTAAAAAACTGAATGAACCAAAACTAACTAAATACTTGTAGAATTTCTATTATTTTTAATTTAGTATCCATGACGAGTGGATATTCTTTCATATACTGTGAGCCTTTTCCATGTTGACCGGCGTTTGTTGTAACTACAGATCGGCCTACAGGTCCTAATGCTAACGAAGTCATCACAGCTCCCATGTCCCCTATTGACCTCAAAACGCCGCCTTCGGCTGTTTAAAATAAAACAGAAATCAACACGTGACAAAAGAAAGGACTAAGTACGTCTACATTGACTTTACAAGAATGGTACAAGCTTAGGTACTTCCTGGAGACACAACTCCAAGAAATATTCGGTTAATGGCGTTAAAAAGCACAAACACGCAACACACACACATATTTCTACCTCTCTCATCCAGAAGGGAATCTCCAGCTGCGTAAAAAATTTACAAGTGACTGAATGAGAAATGATGATGTGTAGATATAAACTTACAGTCAATGTCTCCAATTGGTAATCGACCATCAGTAAAATCATTTTCAGAAACACAATCCAAAATACTTAGTAAAGTTTTAGTTAATCTAAGCAAATCAGAGAAACTATAAAAGCCAAAATAGATTAATTCTCTAGCTAGTTTCACAACCTAAAACTCCAAAATCAATCGAAACAAACACTTAACAAAGGTGTACCCACCTCGAAAGTTAATTTATTCTGTTCTTGGTCTGCAAATGACCACATTTTGGCAACCACGTTACAAAGATAGTCTTCGACGAAAGCTATAGTTGAGCAAAATCGAGCACGGACAGCTTCTTTATTAGGATCGGGAGTTTTATTGCTATCGTAGCTAAAATTATCAATGAAATTTTGTAACTTTAAATGGTAAGTCTTACTCATGTATGGACATTTTCGACGGTATTTCAGACCATAAGCGAGCATATTTGACTGGAGTGACCGGTTCTTGTGGGTCTCTATCGACGTGCAAATGTAACATAAGACGACAGAAAGACGCCCGTAGATCAAAATTTACAGTTTCATCAGCCATACATTTGAGTATTAATTCTATATCTAAGTGTGGTGAAAGGTTATTGAGAGCTAAATATTGCCTATTTAAACACATATTGGAAAACAAATCTAACTGATGTCTATAATAATCCAAAATCGCTTGATCATCCCTACTCCCCAATTTCGCATTTTTACACAACTCAGACAAAGACATTGACTTTTGTCGATTATTCCACAGTAAAATAATTTGGCACTCTTCCACCACCGTAACCATTTGCTCTAATTCCGAATCATCGCTTTCTAAAGGATGCTCCTCGCTAACCTCCTGCACCTCAACCTGCGTCTTCATCATACGTGTTTCTATCAAAATATCAGAATTCTTCTGACTTAACACGCTTTTACAAATCAACTCTTGAGTAACCGGAATGGCTTTTTTATTCGATATACACAAATCAGAGAGGTAGTCGAGAAAACGTGACTCCCAATTACTCATATTTTTTCGAACCAAACCGACAAACGTTTCGATTTCGGCCGGAGTTATATGCTTTTCCAATAGTTTCCGGTTATTGTGCAAAAGCGCGGTAATCGTATCCTCGGCTAAAATGTCATAACCGATTTGTTTTTGCATAAAACCAAAATGCTTCGCAATGTACTCCTAGAAATAAAATTCGGAAATAAACAATAAAATTTGAGTTTCTAAAAGTACTTGATTTTTCCTGTAATCTTGCTGGCTTAGTCGCAGAATTCTGTAGCATAATCTAAAAATATACTTATAAGATGCGTGTCTTGGGTCGTTTAGTTCTTCGATTTTTAAGAAAGGTCCGTCTCCGTTGTTGTCTAAAAACGGGCCCTGGAACGGTTCTGGTGAATCAACCGGCAATTAAAAATGTCGCTATACCTGTAGAATCTTGAAAAGTTGTTTAAGAATTGCTTGCTCCCGCAGTAATTTTTGTCTATCTCTATTTGGATTGGTAACAACTAATTCTAGAGCTTCGGTTTTATTCTGTTCGTTTTCTAGTTCGGCTACAAAATAAACTATATCTTGTAAAAGCGTTGTGAGCGATCGCCTTTCGTTATGTGAAATGGTCCCCTTTTCCAGTTTAACCGATAAAGAAGAAAGCAACTTGCAAGCATCGTTTGCAAAATCTAAATCTCGTACTTCAACCGGCGAAACAGAAATTAAAGCGAAGGCTTCCTTGTCTTCTTTCATGACAGCGCATCCAACTTTCGACATGACGGGTTTTTCCTCATCTTTATCAATAGGAATGGATGTAGAATGTACCCAACTATTTGTAAATAAGTGATGGAGTCTAACGTAACTAGATTGAGGTACAAGTGAATCACCCCTAGTTAAACTAGTTGGATCTAGCTCAAACAAAGATGCAATTTCGTTGGGGTAAGCAACAGGAACTAAATGATAAACAGTTTGATCAGCCGAATCGGCTCTAAGTTTGCTTCTCATTTGATCAGTGGTCTGATCATTATCAACATCTGCGGCTAAGTATTGCCCAGTCGCGAGATGTTTAAAGCGAAATAACGAATCCCAATGCCCTGCTCCGCCTCGACAAGGATCATGTTGTACCACTTCGACTTCCCACAATGCCTTACTGCTTGTTGCTGCCGTGGCACTTGTTCGTCCTGTGGTCCTCAAAAAAACATGATGCGTCTTTTTGTACTCGTCCATCGTTAAAAACTTCTCCTGTTCTGCATGAAATAGTCGAACAACATCGCCACCTTTTAGGATTTCATCGGAATTTTCCCGATGCTCCATGAAAAGGGTTACTTTCCATGAAGTACTTCCGTTAACAACGTTTACTTCTTTACAGCCGGGATTGTCGAGAAGTTCGTGATTGGCAGCGACGTGGAGGACTTGCTGACCGGCGTTTACAGGATTTAGGATAACTTTGTCTCCGAGGACAATGTTATCACCGGTAGCACGAAGTTTGTAAAACGGTAAAATGTAAAACCAAGAACCTTCATTGCCGTTACCGTCTAAGTACACCCGCATTGCGTTCTTTTCAAGAAGAGCTGGTAATCGCTTGTTAACCGTTAAGTATTTGTTGGATTTTAAATGAAGGAGTTGAACTACACTACCGTATTGGACGTTGGTACCAAGCAGCTTTTTATTTTCTGTATCGTTTTGCTTTTTTTCAATTTCAGCCGCGTGCTAGAATGGGATTATCAAAATCAGTGTTTTTTTTTTAATTAAACACTAAAGAAAAACAATATCAAGAAATATTTTTATTGTACAATTGTAACTTAACAAGGACACGCAGGTTTGTTTTCAGATATCTAATATCTTTAAATAACTTCCGAGGAAAAATATTTCACTAATCACTTCTGATATGTCCTGGTAATTATAAACTAATTTGAGACACAGCAACATTTTAAATATTTTTCCATTTCTTTTCTAATTAGCAAATATTATAGCAAAAATTTCTTAATTTCGTAGCAAAGTATAAAAAAACTAATGAGAATTTATGAATTATTGACAGTAATAATGATAATATGTAGCATGTTCGTCATGTCAATAACTCACGATGCTGAAACTAATTTATATAAAAACATGCCAATAAATACACTTTATTATTTTGTTATTGTTGTTCTGTCTTTAATGTTATTATCTTTTACTATTGAAGCAAAACTATCTGTTTTTTCTCTAAGAAAATTTAAAAAAAAAAACTCTTTATATTTTTTTTTCACGCGTATTTAATTTATAGACGCATAGTTGTTTTTTTTTCTCATTTTTGTTTCTTTTCCGTTACAGAAAGAGACATTTCGTCTTTTCACATCATTTTTTATTGTTGAATCAAAAGTTACAGTTAGCATAATTCGATATAGACTTATTCCTTGCAATTTTTTTTACTTGATAAACAGATACCAAACTATTTTCGATGTTATCTATACTTTTTATTTTATACATGTGTAGAAAATCGTCAGGAATAAGGAACAACCTGTTCAAACTCTGAAGCGATGTTTTACTCAAATTCCGGTTTCTGATATCGAACCCCTCATGTCTCCGGAATATTGTCTGTTCTCTCATTGTGTACTGAGAAGTTAGTAAAACAAAACTTTTTGGCAAAAATGAAAAATAACACACGTAATATGAAAAATTTATTTTAGCTAATTAAACATAATTAAGGGGAAGTTAAGCCAGCCAAAGTAAAAATAAACTTTTTATTATAAATTCGCTCAAATACTTGTGGATACAAGTTCACATGATGTGTGTTTGTTTTAAAATAGCTAAAAATGAATCTATAATGGAAAGTTTTCAATGCAAAAGTCATCTATTTTCCGCTAAACCATGATTTTATTATAACTCAACTAGAACTTAAAATGTCGCAAATTATTAACGGATATCTATATAAAGTATTCCTAATGATTACATGGCTTATAATTAAGCACTTAAGTGAAGGTTAAATTTATATAACAAGTAAAACGAAGCAAATTATTTTGCAACCCAGAATTTTATTATTTCAAACTTGAATAAAAAATATCCGACTTTTGAAAGTTTGTTCAGTCTGCAGTCCGCCTCAATTTCTCATCACAGCTATATAAATTTTTGCTTTAAAAATGCAAATGGGACAATTTAATTACTGCTGTCATTGATACAATGTCGACATTTGTTTGCGCACTTTTTTAATAGTTATTAGATTACAAATAGAGAGTAATTTCAGTAATTAAAAAATATGAAAAGTACTTACATGTAACCTCTTTAAAAGGTTGGTGTCGGTATTTGAGCTCATGCTTTGTTTTGCAGCCTTCCAGAACTGCTTCTGAGCTGAATATCTGTTCATGGGACATATTTTGAACAGACAGTCTGAAATAATTTTTTTTTAATTTGTTTTTTGTTATTGTTAAATAACAACCTCTGAATTTTTTTGGTGGATTAGATAAATCTCCAGCTTCAGGACATACAACTGAACGATCATCAACTAGCCTAAAATAAATGTTTTCTATATATGGTCATGAAGAGATCGTGTATAGCTCACCCTAAAGTGCTGAGGAACCCACTAACTGTACCTTCTGCATATAAGGACACGATGTCCCCTAAATGCAGAAGGCTGGACGAACCCATTTCATTCATTTTGCTGGTTTTAGGAGCGTTTTCAGAGTTTTACCATTGCAAACAGTGTCCGTTCTAGGAAAGAAATGAGATGTTTGTTAGGAAACGTCTTCTTTGAAATTCGATTGTTTGCATTATTTAAAATGAATCGATATGAGATGTGATAAATGCAAGATTGTTGGTAATGTTATTCAATAAATAACGATAATTTATGAAGAAACAAAACAATAAAAAAATCCTAACAGAATTAGGTTATGTGGTTTAAGTATCACCTTACAGATTTAATCGATTCAAATTCCTCCGTTTTTCATATCCTCAAGTTATCAGCGACATATTAAATAAATTTTCATAAAAATTTAGCGCAGGGAAATAGAAATTTTCGCATAACACACAATTTGCTTACACTACACAGCAAAGAAACAAACCTTCTAAAACAGAGACAGATATTGATGAGTTGCTCAGATTATCTATCTGTCCTTTAATCGATGTATTAGACGAAGAAAAAGCATAGATTGTCTTTGTTTAGCTAATATAACAGATACACCCACTATATTTTTAGAGGATATAAACGGGGAAACCCCATTTCACTGGGGGGTACGTCGCCCGTGCTTGAAGTCCAATGCGCTTAGGGTCTTACTTTTACAAGATTGAAAAGTCTACTCACGCCAAAAACTAGACTTACATTTTTGAAATTGTACTAATAATGAATGCTGCATAAAAACAATACAATAAAAAATTCATAAAATCGTTTAAAACTTAACATAAACGATGAAAAATGATGATACCTTGACGTATCTCACATGTTACAAATTGTTATTAAATACCTTTTTGGATAATAAACTTCACAATGTGCACGTGTTTTGCGAATTAATCAGTTCAAAGCAAGTTGCTAGTGAAGATGGATTTGTTTATTTTTATTAGTTTTATTTAAACTTATATTATTGTTGCATAAAAAATATTTTTAATTTTGTGTTAAATTATGGTGAAATGGAGAAATTAGGAGTGAAGACGCTTCCAAAAGATTGAAATCAAAGGGTGAGTACTAAATTATTTTATTATTAATTAAAATGTCTACAAATTATTTAATTACGTAAATATAACTTTTGGGTTTTAGTGAATATTTAATTCTAAATTAAATTAATGAAGAATGTTTTATAGCATGGCTTTTATTTGTNAAAATTTGTATTTTTTTAATTTTAATAAAAGATTGTAAGAAAGAACTCGTATGGATAAATAGATAACTAACAGGCATTTTAATCTTAAGTTTACAGTAAATACTAATGTTTGTATAAAATATTTTTTAAACAATTATATTTTTTAGTTTTATTGAAAATCTAGGTATTTTCGGTCGAAGGTATTATCAAATAGTAATAGGTTCAAAGTGTATGCAACCAATTATACAAAGAATAACTAATTATAGCTAATTCACCCTCAGAATAAGACTAAAAGTGCATAGGATTGTACGCATTTAATGAATTTTTCGATTTAAAAAATAATTAAGAGTTTAGAGAGAGTTGTTGAACAACATTCTGAAGAACAATTTTTTTCTGATAAAAAGAATGCTTTTGTTGTGCCAGTGACTGTAGATAACGATGGGTTGCAACAATAAATTTTTTGCAGACTTAACTGGGATATCACTAAACAAATGTTCTCAAAAAAAGACGTAATTTTGTGCAAACTTGGGGTAAATAAAACTCAGACGTAATAAATTTAGTTCTTTATTACTGTTAAATGCTACCAAATGACCTACACTTATTATCTTAGTAATAATCAAAACTTACAAACATTTTCGTGATGTGGATCATGTATGGACAATGTTATTTTTTTTTGTTTTGATACAAAAACAAAATATCAAAACAAATATTTGACAGTGCAAGAATTAATGTTGTCAAATATACATTTATTAAAAATATATTAATATTAAATTAAAGACAATTAAGACAATGTATATACAATGAGACCATAATGATATCAATGGTGTGTGTAACTTGAAAGTTAATACAAGTGACAACAACTTATATCTATTGCACTAACTAAAGTAGTAGAGGAAACATACTGTACAAAATGGTTGTTACATTGTGTAAAGAATTACTAGAACAAAAGTACACATCACAAAGTCATAAATTGGTCTTCCAGCTGCATAATGATTTGAAACAGAAATCTTTTTAATGACGTGTACATCAACAAAAATTTCCTCTACTTTTGACTAAATTTATAAAATAAATATGTCGCTACGCTCATATCATCACAATATTAACATAATAAGGCAAATTAATGAGATATTAATGTTACTACAACTAATTTGTAAATCTAAAAAAATTAAACATTTCCTCTGAAAAATAAGCAATTCGCAATACGTGCAACATAATAAACTCTAAAAAATGCAAAACAAATAAATCAAACCTAATACACATCACATGTAACACTAAAAAGAATTTGTTATTTATAGCAAAGAGAGGATTGAGCGAGCTTTTAATGGTAGACAGCCTGCGTTATAATTCCATGTCTTCAGCTTCATTTTCTGAAAAATCTGACATGGTTGATTCGCTATCTGAACTCACGTTCTCCTGCCCCCTTAAAGCCTCCTCAGTTGCATACTTACGTACATACTCTAAAAAATCACAACTTAACATCACAACCATTTTTTGTCAACAATTACCAGAGACTTTCTTCTTATACTCTTCTGGTTTATGTAAATACATCGCTGCTGCGTCCCCATTTAAAGGATCGATGGGATTTGGGTAAGTTAGCAGCTGTGGAAGAAATGATTCAAAAATATTTGAAAGATCTAAAAAGCAAACTCTCAAAAGAAATAAACCCAAACAGTTTCAAGAATCTACCATAAAGGGCTGTCCAGGCCTGATTAATCACATCTAAGCAGACAGTCCCTGAGACTTCATCTATATTTGGATGGTATACTCTATTCATAAAGCCTATACTAGGTGATTTGAAAGGGTAATGTTCAGGTAAATGAACACGGACTTTCCATACTCCTCCTTCGTATGGAGCTGCAATTTATCAATAAAAATCAAAACAAAACAAGACAAGAAAGGACTTACTGCCCCTAGGGCCATAAAATTTGACACAGAATTCGTTCAAGCCGCCGAGTATCGTAACTTCATGTTTGCTTTCAATTCTAGTCAATGTTAAGGATTAAAAACTAAGACAACAACATATTGTCAGGAATCTTAAGGTTGTTCATAGATAAAAATAGCACACGTATTCGCTTATTGGAGTACGCACCCAAAAAGTAAATGGCCCTATTAATGAACCACATAATGTGCGATTTCTCAATCAGCTGATACAAAGGATAATGTTGTTGTTTACATTTGGATCGCACACAAAGAAAGGATACAGTTTAATAACATCTGTGTCCATACGTCGTTTTCCTGCACTTGGAGACGACATCGTTCTATTGTCATAAAAATATTACCATCAATCTAAACTCCGAACGAAATGCTTTTTCACTTGAGACGTAACCACTTCGACACACAATGGCCGAGGCGAAAACCCAACAGGAATTCCACCAATCCACATACGACGATTTTCATGAACCTTCGCGTTTGACAACAAACTCCCTACTGCCTCCCTCTTGCGCATGACATCAGAGATTTGGGGGGGAAAAATGTTTTCGAACAAAAGGACGAACAAATTTCTCCAAATTGCGTACAATTTTCTACTTTCAATCATAAACACATAGCACTTCCTTGCCAACAACTGCTCGATTGAATAGTATGCGATTAGCTCAAAAATTATTTATTAAACGCATTTTTTGAATCACTCATGCATGCTTTAAATTATTCATAACGTCGCACAGTTTTCGACACAGGAACACAAATAACGTTATTAGCATTTAACTCATCCATATCCACAATAATTCGAAATCGTTTGCCAAAATTAATGTCGTGTTAATTGGAAATTTAAATGAGGTGGCATAAATTACGAGGGCGGTTTATGAGTCTGCGCTCATCTCGGTCATGACTTTGCTATTTCGAATTTTTTCGATTTTTTACTGTAAATGCCCACTTAAACATCTCGAATCTACTTGAAGTCAAAGAAAAATTACATTGCGATCATATCTGCTAAAGAAAATCGGCAAAGAACGATTGTGTTTTATGCATCTTTATAAAAGTACAAAAAACACAACAAAAGCAAAAATAACACTTTGACACTTGCAGCAAATGTTTTCGTTTTTTTACCACAAATGGTCACTTAAACATTAAAATTTTAGTTGATTATTCCCTTCATACTATCAAAAAATTATAATTACTGTGGTTTCTGCCCATTTTATAGCGATTATTTGCAAATGTCAACATTTTGTCATACTTAAAAATGTGTCAAAATTTAATTGATTCTGAATTTCTGTAATTTCTTTTTTAATTGTTCCAATTTAAATACAAGATAATAAATACTTTATTCCAAAATAATTTATTATTTATTCAGGAAATAAGCATACCGATTATCCCGCGTGCTAAAAATAGCTTGATAAAATTTTTACCTTTTCTGTCAACACGTTTTACTACGAAGAAACATTTTTCGTCAATTTTCCACCCAAACGAAAACGTCATGATTTTATCGTCTATTTTTATGCACTGTTGAAAAATCCTTGATACGTCTCGTATTGATTAACTGCTTAGATTTTTTTGACGATAATCTCTAGTATTTGGTTTTATCCGTCACAAAAATCCATTTTTTCTGGCAATACCTTTATTGAAAAGTACAAAACCTCGTCTTACAATTTTTCATAAATTGCCTATCACACCGCTGAACCAAAAATAAATAAATCTACTATGCAATCAACAATCAGTCAATATATACAAACAGTAATTAAACCTAAGAACGGAAGAATTTCTTGACTAACACCGCATTTTCTAACATTTGGTACATTTACTACCTAATTATGAAAAATGGGTAACAAAAATCACGTTAAACGAAAACAATCTATTGTGAATGTAATAATAATTGTTCCGCTAAATCATCGGTTTTTGGAGTTGGTGGGGAATTGAGAACATACTCAGAAACGGAAATATAAATAGCCACGGCAATTCCAATAATGGCGGCTAAAATCGTATTTTTATTGAAAATAATACAGGTTGCTATACACAGGCCGAGATAAGTCATGTATCTTGTCAGAAAGACGTGTTGTTTGCGACTTTCTTGCTCTGCATCTGTAAAAAATTAAATTATTAGACTGAAAAAAAAGTTTGAGAATGAAGTACCCGTGCACATGTTGTCAACTAGAATGTAACCAGACGCGCATTGGGTGCACATATCAGGTCCGTCGCCCGTACACCCAGAACAGGATCTATCACAGTCTAAACATTTGTAGGAGCCGTCATTATTGACACAAAATTGGTTCATTTTGCAGGGTGACTGTGCAGTTGCACATTCATTGATATCAGTGCAACCTTTCTCTTTACTCATGATCCACCCTTGTTTGCATTTTTCACAGCCTGAAATAGATCTTTTAAAATAGCCCACCTGCTGTCAATTAATTACCAGCAGGACCAGCTTTTGAGCAAGGCCCTTCACAGGATATATGACATTTTGAGCATAGTAGTTTTTTGTCATCTTTATAGGCCTCATAGTACGTTTCAGCACAGGCATTGCAAATATCTCCTGTATATCCAGGATCGCAACTACACTGACCACTTCCCTTCCTAGTCCCTGATCCTTTACACTTTCCATTGTTACTACAGACATCGTCGGGGTATCCTTGACAAGGAGTGCAATTAGCACCATAGTGTAAGTCAGGACAGCAATGCTCGACAGTTTTAATACAAAAATATTTAAACAAATCGGGTTCTTCAGTCTGCTTATGAAACCACCAATCTTCTACTTCAGAATCATACTGTTCATGGAGGGCGTAACACTGATCTTTACCCTCCACGACATCAGAACACACATTTTCTTGAATTTCGATCAAACGAATTTCACTAGTGGCATAACTGCCGAGTTTTTCCTCCTCCCAAGCAGTGTCACCTCCCTCAAACTTACCCTTCTTTGTTTTTTCTATTCCCTGTTATTTTTTGATGACATTACTGAATTCGATCACTATTCCAAACGTACCTTTTTGAATGACTCTACGAAAATTTTACAAGCCCGGCACGGTGGCAGTTTTACTTTTGCAACCTCTTCTTTACTTGTGCTTGACACGTAGTGGATATTTGTGGTTAGGTTTAAAATTATACACAACAGCATCAAGTTTTTTAGCATTTTTAAAAGCACTGGAATGTTCTTACAAAACTAAATGGGTTTTGTTTCACAAAGTTGACGTAATTTCGCTAATTTGGCATTATTTAAGGATTTACAAAATACCATGTATTACATGCGCCGACTCCAGTATACACACGACATGAACTGAATTACAGAACTCTACTATAGCCACTTTTTGTTGTAATAATTTTTTATTTTTTATATAAATATTGTAAATTATTGTGTCATTACATTTCATTGTTACTTATTTTGTATTAATAAATTAATAAACAATAACAATTTATTTGTGTTTAAAGAAATCTTTTAAGTTAGAAACCTTTTTTATTGGAAAACAACCGAATACTCCGCTAAGCAATTTAATATTAATTCGTCCCTTCGTTACAAGATGGCACTTTATTAACATTTTACAAAATTTTAATTTTTCAAAATTATATAGATACTTCTAATTGCTACAAATTTTACCAGAGAAATGACATCCGATGTTTATTTATTTAAATCATTTTTAGTGCAAAAACAAAAATTGTTTTTTTTACTTGATAGCAAGCAGACGAAAATTTGTCAGTAATCAATGAATTATTAAAAAACAAGTCAAATTTGTAATGTTTATTTAAGGCTGGAAATAGAACGCGGTTTAATCCACGCCTACTTTCCAAAATGAGCACTAAGAGAGAATAAATAAGATATATAAACCAACAGAGAACCACATACAACGAGAAAAACCAAACAAATGGAGAATATACATGAACAGGTACGTTTGCTGTTATGGTATTAGATGGGAGGTAATAAGGGCGTTCTTCAATGGTCGAAGCACGTGGTGCGCGAGTTTTAGGGGTGGGAGTACAACGTGGGTTTTTAGGAGAGGGAGATTATTCCTGTCAGTCTTATCCGGGTGGTCGTTCACGATGCATATGCTATTTTCGAGTAAGTTGCACTAACGTAAATAAGGGTAAGGTAAGTATTTTTTTAAATTATCAATAGAAATTTTTAAGAAAATAAATCTACGAGAAAAACTGCCAAAATGTATTTTTTAGATATGGAAAATTCGGCCTATGTTCCTAGTTCGGGACATTTGAATTCTCCAGCCCTTGTAGTGTTTTCCCAAGCTGCAGGTGGGTTACAAGATGCCCTTCGTATCCAACGTCCCTTTAATCCGCAGGTTAGTAAAAACTCAACAGATTTGTTACTTTAGTCGAAGGAAATGTAATATCAAGTGACAATTGTTTAGAGTCATTGACAAGATCATTGGGACAATGGCTTTGAAATTTAAGATCCAGTCAATATTATCGACTAATGCGATTTTTAATTAAATAGCAAGACTTTCAAAATTAAATGTACATAAGGGGCAAGTTTGAAAGTCTTTTGTTAAGCGTAATTAGGAACAAAAATAATTTTTTCAAGCAATTTGTCGTATATCATCAATATTGCTTTATTTTATTAGTTTTTTGACGTCTTTGTTTATGAGTGATTCTGTTTGCAGACAATGACCAATTAGTTTGCAACTCAGAGTCTTCCATTTGTTACATATGTTATGTTTTTTATTTTCTGAAATAGTCTTTTTGTTTTTAGTTTGCGATGTCCGAGGCGTCGAAAGAGCTTCATCGTCCGTTTACCTCTAGTTTCGGTTTGCGTCATATGGAGGCCTACAGTGGTCTTCCAGCCCACATTTTGAACCACCTTCAGCCTCAATTCCTCCATCCGGGATTGTCTCTCGGTTCCGGTGCATTTCGTCCACTCGCCGATTTAAAAGCGTTTCCTTCTCCGTCGGCATTCGCGCCACCAAAGTGTTTAAAAATCGAAACAAACAGTGAATCGGTTCACCATGGTCACGGTATATTCTCCCCGTCGGAAGAACGGTTTCTTGGACCAAGTCCTCGAACGGACTCTTGTTCGCCCGCGAGCGCGTCAATGTCTCCCCAACCCCAAACGACCGTCAAAGAGGAGAGTTTGGATGCTCACATGTCGGAAGATGGGGATGCGACCCATGGACAAGCAACAGACAACGACTCGCCTGGAATTCATGACGACAACAGAGGATTTCGGAGTAAGTCGCTTTTTGTTTGGTTTCTTCCTTCGGACGAGATCTGAAGATGCCTGCTTTGATATCGGCTGATTATCATAAAGGAAGCACTGGCAAAAAATATACGTTTTGCGCCTTTTTCAAACACAGATTCATTAAAAATAACAAAACACACGACGAAGACCTTTTCCGATGTATAGGTCGACAGAAAAACAAGACCCTAATTTCTACTATTGGGAGAAACAAGTGTACATATACATTCTTTATCTCGGTTATGAGTTTTATATATAAATAAATAAATGGTACTTCGACTATCGTATTCGGTGAACTGGGTCATTCTGACCCTCTTTTCGGATTTTGTTTTTTGTAGTTATGTTTCTTCGGTAACAATTCAGAAAATCTATCTATTGCATTATTTACATTATTTTAAAACTGAATAACACACCCAATCGTGAAAAATAAGTTTTTTTTTATAGCATCAGGAACCAAATACAAAAAATGCAGTTTTCGTGCAATCTTTCACAAAAAAAATATAATAAAGAAAAATACTAAACACAACAATTATTTCTTAATGTAAAAAGATTCGTTACATTTTGGACCTATAAAAAAATATTGCACGAAAAAAATAAAACTCAAACTAGCAGAAACTGAAGCTATCGGTTCAACGGTGATGTGGTGTACAAATGACCCTGTCTTACCTGCTTGGCCCCTTTCTGTTAATTTTTAAAACAATACAACTTCACTATAATAATAATTGGCATGTACTATGAGGAATAAGGTACTGAGTAGAACCAATACATGGCTTGCAACGTTAATTATTATAGCACGTTATTCAAAATTTTTTAGGGTCAGAATGACCCTGGGTCACCAATATATTCTGAAACTTAGTCTTAAATTAATTAATTAGATATCTAAATAAAGATTGGTTTTCTAATTCATTTTTTGGTACACAAACATTTACTAGTCAAATTATTGTCCTAAATAGTATAATTTTTTTAGGCACTGTGGATGGGTGAACAGTAAAATTAGAATTACAAATATCAATAGATTGTATTTTAATTTCAGAGAATTTTAGGTATTACGTTAACATTTAAAGTTACTATAATGGTTATTACTAAAACTTTTCAGTAAATCGAGAATTGTGTTACACAATATTTTTATCGTATTATTTTGTATACATTTTTTTACAGTAATCTAATAAAACAATTTAATTTAGTCAAATAAAAAATATATATTTGGTATTTTAAAAATTCGTAAAGAGTAAATTATGTTTTCATTAAGAATGACATTGTCAGTTTCAGTTTTTTGGATTCGAATGGTACTACAATAAAATATCCTTTATTTCTATCTTCACATTTAAGTTCATTGTTTTAAAGTAAGGTTACTGAATGGCATTTTAGATTTAAGACATTTAACAACGACAAAATTTTGGATTTGTCCAAGTGTCTTAGTTTTCAACAGCCACAACTGTACATACATAACATAAGTAGGAATAGATAATGTAGCAACAATAATTTTTTTCGTCTTAAAAATTTTTCACTACTATAGTAATGAAGCAGAAAATTTTCGAACTGTTTTTGTGAACAATTTTTCACTATCTTCTCACGTACTGAAACTAATTCAAGTACAGTTTTCAACAAAATAACTAGTATAAAAATATTATTATTACTTATTCGTTATTACAAAGGGTTTTATCACTAGATGTGATGTTATTTTTTTGTGAAAAAATTCTACTCGAATTTATATTTATACCTAGAGGAAATAGCAACACTAAGTTTTCGCAGTAACTAATACAACGAAAAGGAAAAAAACGTGTTATTATCGCAATATTTTCACATATTGTCAATGTTTTTGTGAAAGTATTCCCTTCAGATACGCTGATTTTGCATTAGTCAAAATTACCAATGTCGGCAATATTATAACATCTATATAGTTGACATTTCTTATACAACAAGTGGTTTAATTTAACAGCAAATATTTGATGGATTGAATGAATATTTTAATTTGGAGTTAATTTAATAATTTGGAATTTAATTTGGACACTGTGTTATCAATTTAAATACATGTAATTTCAAACTATTTGATTTTTTTTTAAACTTTTGAGACAATTTGAAATTAGTCGGATCAAAAAATAGTGGGTACCACACAGCCAAAAACTGTTGTTTGCTTGCTTGCACTAGTACTTGCAAAATGACACAAATGAATGAAATGATACAAATAACTATTGTTACAAATGTTTTTTTTACACTTTTGAAGACTAATTTAATTACAAAAAGGTGAATTTTAAGTTTTCCTACTTTTGTTAAAAAAATTTGCTTAACTTAAAAAAAATCATAATTATTATAATGAAACAGAAAGTGATTCTTTCTGTGATTAAAACTTTCAAAAAAATCGAACTATTCTTATGCTTAAACTTGTGCCATATATCTATTTATATACGTACATTCTGAAAATAGGTAAATTAGATTCATGTAGATTTGTTTTTTAAAGTATAAAAAACTTTTATTTCAAAAGACCATTGTACTAAATAGGAATTTGTTTTTTTGATTTGTGCAGATTATTTTTCAAAAAATGCTAGGTAATTATCGTAAAGAGAATAGAAGAATGCATTATATGTATTTCTCAATTTATTTATTTTTGCAGTAATACCAAATATAAAGATTGGAAAATTGGAAAATAACTTTTTTTGTGATCAAAACTTTCACAAATAAATTAATTGTTTTTGTGATTAAATTATGTCACAATTTTGTGCTCATACTCAAGTCATATTCAAGCGAGCAATATTAAGTTTGTGTTATAAATCTGTAATTTGATTACAAATTCATATACAGTTTCTGAAGATAAAAAGAAAAGATGTTCTTTGATAGTTCCATTGTTAAGGCGTGAGTATGCGAGTTATTTTCTTTGGAACAAAGTATGATTTGATGCATAAGTTGGTAGGACAAAAATAAATATATCATACAGAAATGAAATGGCTTTTTATTTGTTTGTCTAAGACCGCTCAGTTTTGTTTATATATTGAGATGGAACCCAACTGCTTAGGCTAAATAAACAGATAATGTTCAGTATTGTTCTTCCGCTAAAGTGGCTTGTGGCCACCTGGAAATGTAACAAATCGTTTACACATTAATATCCGTAGAAACATCAACTCGAAAAGCGTTTTTATTACTGACACTAAGCAAATTTATCGCAATTTATTTGCTATTGAAACAGTAGCCACAAGCTGATTTGGACTATTTTAAAACTCTATCATTTTCGGACGTTACGCTATTATTAATTGCGACAGAAATTGCTATTATCTTGTCGAGTTTGATCGGAAATGACATCAACCTTCTTATTATAATTGAAACGGTATTTTATTCCCCATTTTTACAACACTGCGATAATTTAATTTGTCATTATCGAGTGAATGAAACATAGATATTCGAAGAAATCATCGACTTCCTGATGTTTTATCGCAACTGTGCACGAAGTCGTGCGAATTACAAGTATTTGGAACTACGGACTATAATATGTAGAAAAATAATTGGAGAATAAGTATGTAGATAGAGTATAAGTAAAAACTAAAAACCACAAAACACACAAACCGCCATGGTCGTTAAAATCACGCGTAAACCCAATTTCCCTCATAACACCGCGCATTATGTTAGCATTACATAGACAGTTAAAATCTGTTAGTAAAAGCTTACATATGATTTGTTATTGCGGCTTTTCACACCGCAAAACACAGTAACATCCAATAATGTTTCTAGATTGCTTTACTCCTGTTCTTCGTTGGTTCGTTTTTAGTTCGAACTTGGAAGCGAATCATTATGTAAGAATTTCGTTATAATAAATCGGGGCTTGATTTGTTGCCAGAACGGAACGCAAAAATACGACCAATAACGGTCTTTACGTTTTTAATTTCGATTGTCATTAATTGCGGGTGAGAATGATTTCTCCGTTCGGGCCCTCGTTCCCCAGATGGATTGCAATTGATTCGAAATGAAAGTAATATATCCTCGGAGGAAGACCGTTAAACCATAAAAATACTTTCCGTATTGTTCGATGCCAATAATACCACCTACACCCACATACCGCTTCTCACTCGAATTTTCAACAGGGGCAATTAAATTGATGCTCATTTTTACACCCGCTTCTGTCAAGATGATATTTATGCCACTAGTCACATTATTAATTGTTTCCAACACACGGAGGCTGTTTGCCAACGAATTTTTGTAAAATTTACAAAAACTTTCCACATTGTATTATGCAACGAAAATTTTTAATGTTAATTTTGTTCCTGAAGATGGCAAAAATATAATGCAAACTGTTTCTAAATTAATTGGCATAAGTAAACTTTCAACAATTTCAGAAGACCATTTTTTTATCAAAAATTACATAATTCTTTCATACATAAAATCGAAAACTTTTTACGTGTTTTTCATTTTATATTTTTATGTTTTAGAAGATACACTACTCCAAAAAAGTAAAGCAACAAAAAATTTCCCCATAACCCTGTAAATTTTTAAATCGATCCATCAAACCATTTTCTCGGACCGATTGATCAAAGTTTTACAGGAACAATTGTACATATTGTTTCTGAATTTTGTCTAATTAATAAAATGTAGAAAACAATTTTTTTCGACCTTCTTCACAATTTTGCATTAGTTATTTGCTAAAATTAAAAATAAAATAAACAAAATTTTATTTGGATTTTTTTTTCAAAATTTGTAAAAAAATTCAAGAAACAATACTGATTAATTGTTGAAAATAGTTTTTTTTTTTTAATCAAGATAATACCATTTTTTGATGAGTTACAGCCTTTCAAAAATCATCAAAAAATTTAGGAAAATTTTTTGTTCCTTTAATTTTTTGGAGTACTGTAGTATAAGAGGATATTACTTTGTTTTTTGTAATTTTTACTTTATTTAGTGAGCTGACTTCTTAACCTAGCAATAAACCTAACTATATGTATAAGCACAGAGTTTATTATAAGCTGCTATACCTACATAAGCAGATTTTTTTAAAGTTTGGCAAAAAAT